AGCAAATTACACCAGAATGTAGTGGGTAAACACAGTTTGGGTTGTTTCACAGTTTCTGTGGGGCGGGAATTCAGGTGCCCTTTATCTGGATTATCTGCTTCAAGAACGCTCATAAGGCTAAAGTTCAAGCATCGGCCAGGGCTGTGTTTCATCTGAGGCCTGCCAGGGAAGGATCTGCTTTCCAGCTCACCTGGTGGTTGGCATCAGGATTCAGCATCTTGTGGGCTGTTGACTAAGGGTCTCACTCTTTACTGGCTGTTGGCTGGAGGCTGCCCTCAGTCCCTTGTTACATGGGACCTTCCCATGGCAGTCGACTTCACCAAAATTAGCAAGAGAGTCCAGTGAGCTGGAAGTCTCAGTCCTTTATAACAACATCATGGAAGTGACATCCCATCACTTTTGCCATTTTTTATTCATTCGAAGCTAGTCACTAGGTCCTCCCACCCTCAAAGGGAAGGGATTACACAAGGGCATGGGTACCAGGAGGCAGAGTTCACAGGGGGTTATCTCTGAAATCTGCCTGTCACAGGGAGTGCTGAGAGCTTTGCAGAACTTTCCTTAGAACCACACAGGAGTTTAAGATCCTTTCTTCCTTCCTTCCTTCCTTCCTTCCTTCCTTCCTTCCTTCCTTCCTTCCTTCCTTCCTTCCTTCTCTCCTGCACTTGTGGTCAGACCTGCACCGGGGCCTGGTGGCCCAGCCAGTCCTCCTTAGCTTCCTCCCATCTTCGCTAACAGATGGTCCCCCTAATAAGATCCTTGCATGTTTAATTCCTTCTTAGCATCTGTTTCTCATAATACCCAGAGTAACACAGTGGTTGTGGGCCAGCTGAGAATCTGCTGAGGAAGAAGGGGACTAAGGATTCTGAGCAGTTTCTGCCCATATCCTTAATACAGTTTGGAAACTGCCTGCCTGTGATCTCAGCACATTTGATATTAAAGGTAAAATGCAACCTCCCCCCAAAAATGTAACTTAAATAACTGAAAAAACTTAGCTTTACCTCTGTCAGTATATGTGTGCTAGAGGCCCGGTGCACAAAATTTGTGCACAGGAGGGGTATCCCTCAGCCCGACCTGCACCCTCTCCCAATCCAGGACCCGACAGGCAGGGTCCTTAGGCCTGGCTGGCGATCAGGGCCTATCAGGGCTTTCCTTTCCCCAGCTGCCGGAAGCTGGCCCTGCCCCTACTGCTGCCACTGCTTGCCATCTGTGTGGCGCTGCTCCCCCTCCCCCACCACTGGTTGCCTCCCTCTGTGGATGACAGGTGTGGGGTGCAATCGCTTGGCTGGCCTGGGCCTCCCTCTGCAAGGCCATTGCTGGCCGGCCTGCACACATGCCACAGCATCTCTGGGTGGTGGCCTGGACCTCCCTCTGTGGGCGATCGGTTGCGGGGTCTTCAGATCAATCATCTCAAAGACGGAGGTCCCATCCACCCACCACAGTGCCGACAGCCAGGTGGCCTGGGCCTCCCTCTGTGGCTGCTGGCTGGGTGGCCTGGGCCTCCCTCTGTGGGGTGATCGATCACGCGGCTCCTCCAAAGAGAGAGGCCCTGCCCACGCGGCTGAGGCTCCACAATCACGGAGCCCCCTTCCACCATCAATTGCCCCACTGGCCAGTGGCCTGGGTCTCCCTCTGTGGGGCAATTGTGGGGCGATGGTGGGGCCCCCCTTAGCAATCACATTGCACCTGCCTTGGCTGGCCTGGCGCCAGTGTGTGTCATAATGTGGCCATCCAGAAGGGCATCCAGACAGTTGTTCTGCTGTTCAGTCGTTTGGTCAATTTGCATATTATGCTTTTATTATTATAGATTGAAAGTGTGTTATAGCCCTAGCTTATTTTCTTAGTGATTAGAGTGTGGGCTGGCAGACTGAAGTGTCTTGGGTTGGATTCCTGGTCAAGGACATGTACCTTGGCTACAGGTTCCCTAGCCTGTGTCAGGATGCATGTGGGAGGCAATTAATCAACGTGTCTCTCTCACACCAATGTTTCTCTTTCTCTCCCCCTCTTGCCTCCCTTCCACTCTTTCTCAAAAAAAGAAAAAATTCAATGGAAAAAATATCCTCAGGTGAGGCTAAATAAAGTGTGCTACAATAAACCTTTTTATAACTTATAATTTAAATTTCTAGAGATTATTACCCTAAGAATAAAACCAATATGAAATGATGATGAGGACTAATATTAAATCTAATATTTTATTGCATAATTTAAAGGCATGCTTTAGACCAAATACTTTTTATGTTGTAATTCTACTGAAGTCCTTAATTTTACACTCATTTTCCAAAATGATTGGTAAAATTCCCTAAAATTGCTAATATGGCAACTTTAGAGAATGGGAAGGAGATTTAAGAAACTCAGATAAGGGCTGAACACTTACTTTGGACAAAGGCAAGTCAGAAGGTATAATAAATTGCTCAGATGAATTCTTTTCCTCATTGTCTCAAATGAGAATAGTCCCTGTTTTTATTAATCATTCTTGTCTCTGATTTACATTGTTCTAATATAAAAATACCAATAAATACTCTATCTAAATACTTTCTCGCTCTTTTTTTTCTTCTTCTTTGTACCACACTGAGCTTGTAAATAGAGGGAAAATAGGGTATGTGATCTTAAGGTTTCCCAGGAAGCCCATGCTATGTAGTAAACAGAATCAGCCAGGAGGTGGCAGTAGTGACCAATGAGAAATCCTGATGCTCTGCCTCTATCAGCTTTCACTGCCCTGGGGATGCTTCCTGGATCTAATCTGATGCTTATGAAAGCTATTTCCTTCTTACAAAAACACCAGGCCCAAACAGAAACTAACCTCATCCTGCCGATAAAGAATGTTTGTGCCTCACACGTTGTCAAACTATCCCAGCTATAGCTAGAGCTTCAATAAACAGTTCCCAGCAGCAAGATGCAGCTGTGCATTTTAGGCAGCGGGAGCGGGCACACTGGCCTGCAGGGAAGCCCAGCATGTCAGGTGGGCCCTCAGGATGGTGGGAGGCTGCGAGACTGGTCTCGGCTCAGGAAGGCTGAGCACGCTGAAGGATTCTGCAGGACATAACTGTTCTGAGTCACTCAGACCAAGTGCTTTCCCATCAGCAACACCCAAGTGTCTTCCTCATGCAACACAGGTCCGATAGCGTCTCCTGCGAGGGGTTTAACTGAAATGGTATCATTGCTATCTTTGCAAGGGACTCTGGATGATTGGGGAAGCCACGTTAGGAGTTGAGACTTGTCCCCGTGGTCAGTGGGTGTCATTCGAAGGCTTTGAGCAGGAGATAAGGTAGCAATGGGAAGAAGACAGTAGGAAGGGCACAAGTTAAGTGGGTTTTTCTAGCCTTAGATATGTTCAGCATCCAGACATTTTTATTCTATTTCTAATACAGTAAAACCTCGATATAATGGACTAATTTGGCCGAGGGGGTGTCTGTTAAAGATGAAAGTCCATTATGTAATAAAGTAGGTTTTCTATGTGCGCACATTGAAAAACTGACAAATTGGTTAATTTACCTGTTTATTTACGCAGACATGTTTGTGTAATTAAAATCGAGAGTGTATGAGAAGTTTAATTTCACAGAAAAGTTTTCTACATGTATGACTGTAATTTTGCATTTATACTGAATAGGTCTAGTAAACGCGTGCACTCACCCGTCACCAGAGTAAACATGCACACGGCTGGGCCGAGGTTTAGCACACGTGGGAACGTTGGCCTGTGTGCATCCAAACTGCTGCAGAAGGTCACGCCACCCGACACCAGAACCAGTTACCACATAGGATGCGGTGTGATCATGAGCTAATCATTCCCTGAGCATTGTCTATGAGCTCTGACTCTTGGATTTAGATATGTAGACGATAGTTGTATATATGTAAAATGTATTTATGCAGGCGAAATTACTAAAGTTTTTCCAACATGTAGCCTATTCACAAAAATTCGTTTAAAATAAGTGAATTAATAACAAAAAAAAACCAACCTGTTAATTTAATTATAAGCTAATCTTGGTTAAAACCATTTTAAAATTGATGGGGTGTTAATCGTCACATGACATATGGACCGGGAATTTTGTCTGTTGAATCCGAAGTCCGTTAAATCGAGGTCCACAAAATGGAGGGTTTACTGTGCCATGCTTGGACGAGCCCCGAGGGAAATCCTGGCCATGTGCTCTGGGTTTCCTTTCTCTACGGCATCTTTGGAGGGGAAGCAGCCCCCATTTCCATATCGTCCCCAGGAAAACAAATGATGAGAGAATACTCTGGCCGGAGCTCAGAAGGACCTGGCCTGGGGGTTGGAAAAGCAGCGTAACTCCCACCGGTTTCCTCGGGCGCCACATGGGAAATAGCACGGGCTGCGGGGATTGGTGTGAGGCTAAAGGACTCACGCGCATGAGTCCTTAGGACAAAGCAGAGCTATATCAGCGCTCAATAAACAGCAGTTACCACAGAGGGAGACCTGACCTGAAAATGGTCACAAAATCGTTCAGCCAGCCCCGGGCTGGTCATACCCGCCAAGCTATACAGACCCGCGCCTGCGCACACGCAGAGTCCCTCTCCACCACCGAACACACCCACTGGGTCTGCCTGGGCACGCCTTCGCTTCAGCCAAGATGCCCTTGAGATTCACCCTTTCCATCCATGATCTGCTTCCAGAGAGCCCACCCGAGGTCCCGCCCCTCAGATGCTACCCCCTGGTATGACCCTGACTCTGGCCCCCTCCCAGCGCTTACCTCAACGGGCTTCTGCTTTCACTGTGGCCAGAGAAAAGTCACCTGCCGACTCGATAAGAGGAACTAGAAATATTTGCTTATATGGCATCAGGGACCTGGGGGCACAGCCAAGGCTATGACACAGGTTTGAACTACAGGGAAGGGAAGGTGTCCTGCCAAGGTCAGAAAGAAGGTGGGCACTCGCAGAGGCCACACAATGAAAAGCACGGCTTGTCAATGCCAATTTCACACCTACTCACCCCTGAGCAGGAGCCTGCACTGGCCCAGCTGTCTTTTGAGGAGAGTGGGTGTGGCACTTACCATTGCTTCAGGGCCTGGTGCTGGCTGTCTGGCTGGTGGCCCCTGAGAACTTGCACTCTTGGAGTTTAGCATTTGCCCAGATCTATTGCCAAACAAGGAAAGCAGACAATGGGTCACACTTCCATGTGGGAATTCCAAAGCTCTACAAAGCAGGTCCTACAGGAGGAGGGGGTTAGCTGCCAGGCCCAAAGTCCTCTGATGTAACTCGATTTGTTTAACAAAATCTGCACAGGCCCCAGCTTACAGTCAACCGACAGCTGCAAGTGTGGGTTTGAAGTTGGTTTGAAATGTGTTTTCCCATCGGAACAATGAGGTTTGGGGCGGTGCACTTGCAGGACTCCCTAAAAGCCAATCGAGCCCATGCAAGGCCTTGTGCAGAGACCAGGGGGCCAGGGCAAGCTGACAAGTCTGGGGGACCAAACCACGTTCAGAGTGGCAGAAGCAGTGATGCGAGGGCCAGGGGACAGAGAGCACTTGGCGGAAGATGCACAGATGCTGGGGGAGATCATGAGGATTTTGGAAGCCACTTTCAGACTTTGGACCTTACCCTGAGGGCAATGGGGCGTCATGGAAAGGTTTTAAGCAGAGGAGCCACTTCTCCCTCTTGAGGTATTGGGACACTGGGAGCAAACTCTGGCCCCCAACCTGGATCCCCAGAGGCTCCAGGCCAGCAGGGAGGAGAGGGCCTGTGGAAGGAAGAGCCTGGGTTCCCCGCCATGGTGGGCAGAGAGGGGGACCCTGAGGACCTTGGCTTCAGTGTTGGGGAGGGAGAGGAGCTGCTTGTTCGAAAGGCCCACAGGACACCAGATCCCAGATCGGGGAGCTGGGTGTAGGAGGGAGCAGTGTTTAATGCAGGTGCACACCAACTGGGGATTCTGCATCCTGCTTTCTTGGAAAGACAGCTTCCTGCCAGCCTAGAAGCTGCTCTCAGCCAGACATAATGGCTGCATGGCCCTGTAAAGAATGGTGCAAAGAGGAAACAAAGGTCTGTTTTGTGAGACATTTGCTATCTCTAAATGTGTGACAAAACCAAAGTCCATTGGCCTTTGAGCTAGACTAATATATTGATTTCTCTTTATGCCCAGATATGAACTGCATGAAACTTGAGGTGGGTGGGAAGTAATTTAAAGTTGAAATATTTTTTATGATATTAGTGTTTTTCTAAAAGCACCAATGGTAAAGTTAAAGGTTCTATTTAAACACATTAATAAATAAACCCATGGGACATGACCAAGGGAACTCAAGGACACTCATGTCCCTAGTGGCGAGTTCATCAATGCAGGAGCAAAGAGGCAAGGCTTTGAAGTGAAGTGCTTTTGTCAAAGCTACATTCACTTTGCACAGCTGAGCTCTTGTTCTCTGGATGGCACAATTTATGATGCAAGCATTTTGCTCTTATTTCATTATTATTATTATTTTGCTTTAGACAAATGCCAGGATTAACAAAAACTTACCAAAAAATATAACCAGAAATGTAGCCTTACAATATTGGAACTTCTCCACCCAAGAGCGAGAGAGTTGCATAGCTCAATTTAAAACCATTGGCAGGCTTCCATGAGATTTTGAAAATAGCTTAATGGCAAGATGGCTCACATGCTTCTCCAGGAATACATTAGAAACAGATTGATGACTATTGAAACATAAAACATGAATCCTACCGCATTTCATGGAATCTAAAACTTCACTATGTCAGACACACTGCTATTTCATGAAACACTAAATAAGTGTCATAATGCTTTCTTGGCACTTAGAATTTTTATCTTAAATGTATTAAAAGAGTTCTTTTAGACCTATTTGGACACAGAATTTTAAACCATATGTCACTCACTCTCCTGCACACACAGAAAGAAAATGTAGGCTAACAACTTGGTTAAGGTGTGACTAAAACTGCGTCACATCCAGAATTCACCTTTCGGGGGTTACTCTTGGATGTAAGACTTGGAAATCCATGTTTTTCCAGACACCATCGTCCTGTGAGTCACCAAGCACTTTCAGGAGAGCTCTGGTGAAGCCGTAGGGGCCACGTTTCTTTTAAAAGTGTTCCACAATGGTCTTCCCTGAGCTCTGATGCTCAGCCAGTGGCAATGACAACTATGACATGAGCTGTTTAGTTGACAGCGAGTGTAAGACACAGAGATTATAGATGGCTACGGCATGAGAAAATGTTCCTTCTAGAATCAACAAAATGGGTGCAATGGACTGAATGTTTGTGTTGCTCACAAAATTAATACCTTGAAACCCAACCCCCAGTATCAGGAAGTGGGGCCCTTGGGGTGATTAGGTCATGAGGATGGAGTGCTCATGAATGGGATTGCACCCTTATGAGGGGGCCCCAGGGAGCTCTCTCACCCACCTCCTGCCACGTGTGGACACAACAAGAAGTCTGAGACCACCCCCCCGAAAAGAGGGCCCTCACCTAACCCTGCTGGTGGTACCTTGACCTCACACTCCCAGCCTCCGACCTGTGAGAACTAAATTTCTGTTGTTCATAAGCCACCCAGTCTATGATACTTTGTTATTGTAGCCTAACTATGCATACAGTCACTCAGACTTCTGCTGTCTCCTGAATCCACTTCCTCCCTCCCAGATGTGTGTGTGTGTGTGTGTGTGTGTGTGTGTGTGTGTGTGTGTGTAGATTTTGAGGAAGGAGAAAAAACTGACATCTATAATAAAAGCTAGGAAAAAATGCATTTGAAGAAACCTGACAGTCTACGGCCATACCACCCTGAACGTGCCCGATCTCGTCTGAAAAAACATGACAAGCCCTTAATTTCATGATTGGGATTCTTGTTGCCTCGTCCCAGAAGGTCTGCAGCGTGTCCGCTGTGTGGTCAGCAGTGCAGTGTGGGAAGCGGGAAGCCAGACCAGGTGCAGTTAGGTAGCCTGGAGGCAGCGAGGACAGAGCAGCACTGGCTTGGGGGTCAGGCACAGCCAGGCTGGGGGGCTGGTTTTCTCTCAACTTGCCCAGCGCTGCTCATGTGACGGATCCTCTCTAAGCTCCAGGTTGCTCATCTGCAAAAGGGTGAGTATAGTACATGGCCCATAGGGTTCCATAGGAGCAAAGAAAGTAACCCATGTAAATGCCATTAATAAATGCCAAACACATTTGATCCCCTATTTATTCTCCTTAAATATACAGCCCAAGGACTGAAAGTAAACCAAAACCACCATCAGAAAAAAATAACAAAAACCACCGAAGCCTGTTTTTGTCTGTATTTCACAGAGACTTCTGAGTGGAGACAATTCCTCCTGAAAATCATGCTTTTCACCAACACATAAAAAAAATAACAGCTAATGAGTGGGTCATTTTCTTTTGCATTTTACCAAACAGTGATCTTTATTTTAAGAATAGGATGTTAGCATGACTCAAGTCTGAAGACAATCAAGCTCCGTTCTGTCCTCTGGTGTCCGTGGACAAAGTCAAAGAGACTTCTCTGGTGGCAAGTCCTGGCATGGGACCCGGTGAGCGATGATGTGGCCGATCCCAAGCCTGGCTCACTCAGAGTGGTTTCTCTCCCCTCCCTTTCCTTAGGCACACCCACTGCAGCCCTGTCCTGGCTGCACCCAGATAGAGGCCCCGCATGGGGCATGCACATGCAAACCTCTGCCTTCCAGGAAACCAGCAAACTTCTTCCCTGGGGTTGGTTCCAGTAAAAGGTGGGGCTCAACTGCCTGGGCAGGACGCCCACATGTAATCCCAGACTCAGCAGTGACTTTCTTTTCTGGTTTGGGGAGCTCAATTATTCACTTTGCCTTGGCTTTCCATCTTTATCATGAAAATAATAGTCTTACCTCTTCTATAAGTGTGTTCTGGAGACTAAAAATTTGGGAGATGTGGCTGTTTCGTATCCTAATGGGTGGGACACAGAAGGAATGCTAAATACCACGTTGGTGTTACTGTGGGTGAACCTCCAGCCTGACCACTCAGTAAAGCATGTTCCTAGGAGTCTGGTTCCCACCACTGCTCACAGCCATTATGTGTAGTGGATAATCCTTCTCATTCTCGCTCCCTCCTGATTTGGGTCTGTGCAGCTGTTTCCACTCTGCCTCTGGAAACAGCCCTCCTTTGCACTGGGCATCCAGCCTTCCCCACTCTAACCATAGCACCTCATCCTACCCCACTCCCATTGGGGAGCCCAGGCAAAGGCCTAGGACTTGGGCCTGGCCAGTTATGAGAGCCCATCTACCTTAGCCTGGGTTTCCCCAAAAGCAGAGTGTTACAGGCAGTAGTTTATTTGGGAAGAGGGTCCAGAGAAAGGGTGAGGGAAACAGGAGAGGTCAATACAAAGAGGTGTTATCAAATTGCCCACCAAGGCAGATGCCTGGAGAAAGACCTTGCTGGTGTATTTGGAATGCATCTCAGAGTCATCCGCCTGAGGGACGAGTGACAGGAGCATTTATGTGTTAGTCCCTGCCCCCACCCCATTGGCCCTGAGTTCCAAGTTGAGCATATTTGAGTGGTGGGAGAGGTCCTGCAGATGTCCCTCGCCAGGGTTCTGGAGAACTGCATTGGGAAGCTAGGGGCATCCCAAGTTGGGAGAAGGCACATGTGCAAACTAAAGAATCCTGACTGGTATGTGTGGATTTAGCACTAAGCAGGCCCGCAGAGTAAGGATCGGAAAGGAAGGGATCACACCCCTTGGAGAGGAACATTCTGCAAGTGACACAGTAAAGGAGCCCTTAAACTTATACTTGAAGACCAAGAGCTTAAGCCTCTGATGGTTGCAGTAACTTTTCTATGAACATATTTAGACAACCAGGAGCTCCCAAACCAAATCTTATTTTAGTAGATATATTTCTCTATTTTTTATAAAAATGAGGGAGTTATTTCTTACTCTTTAACAGCCATTTCAACATTTTATATGAAGTATGATCCAAAGAATACCATTTAATGAGATGATTTATGAAAAAAGTGTGCCAGTGTCAAATATTGATAAATAGTGTATGCTAGTACACTTCCTTGATTCTATCACTCATTTTTTTTTCTAGTTCTTTTAAATTTCTAAAATCGGAATTCATTTAATAATTAGTGTGCTATGTTTCCTTACTTCCTCTTATGGGCTGAATTATGTCCCTTTCTCTCAATTCATACTAGTATGTTGAAACCCTAATACTTCAGAGTGTGGCTACATTTGAAGATAAGGCCTTATTCAGTTAAGAGGAGACTGTTAGTGTGGGCCCTATATACAATCTCACTTGTGTCTTCAAAAGAAGATATTCAGGCACAAAGAGATGTGCATACAAAGGGAAGACCAGGTGAGGACACAGAGAGAAGGTGGCCGTCTTCAAGGCAAGGATGGAGGCCTCAGGAGAAACCAACCTGCTTGCAGCTTAACTTGCCTCCAGCCTCCAGAACTGTGAGAAAATAAACCTCTGCTGCTTAGCCTCCCAGCCTGTGGGGTTTTGTTATGACAGCCCTAGCAGACTAAGATATTTCCCATAAATCTGTTATTAACCAATGACACTCTGGGAAACATGATGTATCTCGGGAGCATCATGGTGCACATTACATACGGAATTTTCTGGGAAAGCCTGCAGCCTCTTTAACTCTAACCCCTGCTCCCACGCTCGGTCACCATCCAGAAACCCACTCTGAGCAGCACAGCACGGACACATCTGCAGAAAGCCTCAGGGAAACAAATTGCCCTCTGGTGCCTTTTGAGCAATGGATTCGAGTAGGAGGGGTGAAAATGCCATTTCTTGGAGGAGTAAAGCTCATTCACGCATGGTGCCATCAACAAGAACTTCTATAACTTGAAGGTCAAGAATAACAGAAAAGCTCATTTATACTATTCCATCAGGCACACATACATGGTGGAATATACAGGCAATCCCCCCTCACACATTTCCCAGATGCACAAATTTCAGTTACTCCATGGTAACGGGAGTTAAGTAACACCAGCCCCCAACAACACGGTTCCAAATTCAGTTACTACAGTACCTTAACTGTACATAATTCATCAAGTACAACTCTGCTGCTGCTCCCCAGGCCACAGGTCACTACATAAATTACAGACATGAGTCATAACCAGGGACCAGTCTTGTCACTTCCTTCAGAGTCCATGGGCGACTGGTCACTGTGCATCTGTTATCAGGTCACACACAGGCAGCAGAGCATGTCGCTGCATGGCCTCTTGTCTCCCGGTGATAAACCCCCGTGACATTTTACAGAAACGGATAATCAAAAGAGAGAAACAAAAAAAGTGATAAGGCTGGAAGTGGAAGTTTAATCAGACGTAAACAGAGTTGTAGAGTAATGCCCGCTGATGCTGCTGTTGTTCGAGAGATTCTACATACAGTCGATGGACTTAGTGAACTTATTGAAATAAGTGAGGAAAGTGGTTGTGACAAAAAGGATGAAGATGCTGCAAAAAACAGTCCTTATTAAAGGAACTCTTGGAGATATTTCATGGCACTGAAAGTGTAAAAAAAAATTGAATGTTGGAAGCTGACCCAGATTTAGAACAGGGTATGACAATTCACCAAGGCATAGAAGAGATGCTTGGTCCATACTATAAGCTTTATAATAAAAAATTACTGTTTAGAACTCTGGAAATTTTTCACAAAGAAATAAAACATTATTTCTCAGTATTTCTAAGGTTTTATAGTATGCTAAGTTAATATTCATTTTGCAATTTATAATTCTCCTTATATATTTATAACCAATGATAAGAGAGTTCTTAATATTTTGACAAAATTTTGAAATTCAGGAAAGAATCTTATTGATCATTGATCATTATTATTGAGATTGCTTTGCACAGTTTCAGCTTCACCAGTCCCACACTACCATGCAAAGCAAACATTACTTTGTAACACTATGATGTTAAAAAGAAAATTCCTGCTGTCCTACTCTTAATTATTTGACAAACATTTTTGAAGCTACCATGATTAAGTTATATAAGGGACCCAAATACCAAGGTTAAACATAGCTTAAGTAAGAAGGATGGCAAGTATCTATACTAATAAAAGGGTAATATGCTAATTAGACTGGATCTACCAGACATCTTCCGGACGTCTGACTTGCTTCCAGGCAAAGCCACAGTGGCGGGGACCAAGGCAGAGGCAGTTAGAGGCAATCAGGCCAGCAGGGGAGCAAGCAGTTAGGGGTGAGATCAGGCCAGCACAGGGGAGCAAGCAGTTAGGGGGGCAATCAGGCCAGCAGGGGAGGGCAGTTGGGGGCAATCAGGCTGGCAGGGGAGCAGTTAGGTGGCTATCAGGCCTGCAGGAGAACGGTTAGGGGGCAATCAGGCCAGCAGGCAGAGGCAGTTACGGGTGATCAGGCAGGCTGGCGGAGGTGGTTAGGGGTGATCAGGTAGGCAGGCAACCGGTTTGGAGCCAGGGGTCCTGGATTGTGAGAGGGATGTCCCAGATTGGAAAGGGTGCAGGCCAGGCTGAGGGACACCCCCCCCCCCCATGCACGAATTTTGTGCACCAGGCCTCTAGTGCATTAATAATGGTTAACGCTATTATTGACTGATTGCTTTCCATGTGCTGGGCACAGTGCTAAATGTTTTTCTTGCAGTGCATGGCCTCCAAATAACCTCAGCACAAGTGGACCTTTCCCAGGGCCACAGAGGAGTTCTGATGGCTTAGATCAAGCCTGTCAAACTCAAAGGCTAACACGGGCCAAATAAACAAGGTTGAAGTTTATGTGGGCCACAAAAAAACAAAAGCTTCAATTTTCATAGAAACATAGGTTTATTTCAATAAAGACATGCTGAATACAAAGGGCTGAAATTAATGAGTCATTGTTAACATAAAATAATAGAACATTTAAATAAAAATTAATATTTTTTCTTGAACATTAACTTACCAGACACTGAAGAACTGCACAAATTAATAAGCATAATGCAAATAAACCTATTTTTTCTTGTTCTCCAAAAGCGAAATATTTCCTGTTGTGCACACCAAACAAGTCAGTCCAAGACTAATGGCATGGCAATCGGCTGCAAAAATATTTGCTGCTTGTATTAGTGGAGAGAAATGGTGAGCCTGCACATAAAGTGCGTAAGGGAAATGAACGCAACACGATTATAGTAATTAGTCATTAGCAAATATTGTTCATTATGAATAATCATGTGTAACTGGATATTATAAAAATTAAGTTATGAAATTTTTATGAAAACGTTTCTTACATACCTTTATATTGGCTGGGCCACAAAAATATTCATTGTGGGCCGCATGCGGCCTGGGTGCTGTGAGTTTGACATGCTTGGCTTAGATGAAGAGAGGCTCAGCAAGGCCTTAGGGAACCACAGTGATGTCACCCTTGTGAGCTCAGGCTCTGCTTATGCCCAGTGCCCTGTGCTTGTGGCTCAAGATAGGCCTGGCCTGCAACACAGCACCCATCTTTCCTTTCCATACTTACAAGCCCCAAGGCAAGGGCTGAGGATGATGTGAGTCATAAGACAGGTGCTGCTTATATGGGCCCAGGACACAGCAGTGTCCTGCCACCAGGAAGATGGCAGATCTTTGCATCTACCACTGCTTTTTCATGGTCCCACAAGATGCAAATGTGTGTGGAGTTTTTGAACTGAATCTTAGGCAGGTGTACTCCCATCTTTCCCATACTGATCTAATTTCATTAGAGCACATTCATGCAGTGAGTTGCTGCACAGGAAGGAATATCTAGCATGCTTTCTAATCTACTCATTAGGACTTAGAAAACTCCTTTGGCATAAAAAATATAAAAGGATCACCTAACTTTGCTGCATATTCAAAAATGATCAGTGCTAATATGATATCTTTGTTAGACCTCCTGCTTCGAGGCAGCCCCTTTGAGCCTATTTAGCCTCTTTTTCAACTATAAGGTTAGGTATTTTTTGTTTTGTTGTAGGCAAAAACATTTTCTAATGTATAGAAGTCAAATATCAAGGTGTTGGCAAGGTTGGTCCCTTCTAAAGCTTCCCTCCTGGGCTTGTAGTCGGCTTTCTTCTCCTTGAGTCCTCACCAAGTCATCCTCTGTGTGTATGTGTGTGTCTCTTTATTTGTCCAAATTTCTTAGCCACCCCTATTTTCTGATTCAGCCACATTCTGAGGTAGTGGGGATTAGGACTTTAAAATATGAATTCAGCTCATAACATAGATAGATAGATAGATAGATAGATAGATAGATAGATAGATAGATAGATAGATAGATAGATAACAGATCAATCCTTAAAATGTCAACATGGATTTTAGAGATCCAAAGTTTCTAACTAATCATGATCCCTCAGTGTCTCATCTCCTCTCAATCTTCCCCTCCATGCAGATGAGCTTATAGCCACATTAGCTCCTTTCCTGAAGGCCTGATCCACATGTGTCGTGTCAAACTGGATGTTTCCTGCTAAGCCTTCTGCTGGCACCATCAGCTCTACCTATGTAAAACAAAAATCATCCCCTCAACATGAAATCTCTCCTTTCTTCTGATCTTCCTGCTCCTCTGAAGGCCCTGTCACCTTTCAGATGTACCCTCCTCACTCTGGAGGCTCTGCCTCTGTCTCCCCCCCTCTTCCCTCACTCCCCTCCAAGCAGTGGCTGTGTATAAATCTCTGAAGTGTTTCTCTCCAACTGCCCCATCACAGTTCAAGTCTTTCTCCCTCTGCTTGGGGAATTCCAACAGCACCTATGCACCTCCCCCACCGAGCTCCCCCACCCATACCCATCCCCCACCTCTGGGCCAGCCTGCACATGGCACTCCCTGGCATGTGTAGCTCTGATTGCTCTTCACTCTCCATTAAGTGCAAACATCTCACCCTGTGATTCAGAGCCCTCTAGAATTGGGCAACCCAGCTCTCCACATAGCCAAGCTGCCACACCTTTTGAAAATCCAGAGTTCTGCTTTAGAAAAGCCTTCCTGGGTTCCTTCTTTGGTAACACTGGCCAATGTTGCTGGCCCAGCAGGAATTGTGCCATATTTCCACCCCTATATTTGATTTCCTATCCTCCTTTCTTCCTTCATTTCCCTTCTCAACACAAACACACACACACACACACACACACAAATTACCTCTTTAAATAGAGAAGTATTCTGAAATAATCAGCAAAAATCAAGATGTGTCAATGTCATACAATGAGCAAGAGAAAAAAGAAGCATACAGAAAGTATAGAAATCCCAAATTTTAACCAATAACCTCTTGGCCTCCTATAGCCTGCTCTAAGAGAGGCCTCCACGAACAGATTCTTCCTCGGAAGGACAAAGTAGGGCTAGGAAAAGAGATTTCCCTGAGGCTGTCATATAGACATTAAAGGCAGAAGTTTATATGCCAGAAAATAATGAGAATTTTGTTCCTTGACACCAAGTAAATAGAAAAGTGTACATGTAGACAGCTTTTAGGGGAAAGGAGGAAGGGAAGAGAATGTGACCCATTTCCTCCATCAGTTAAAAAGAAAAAAAAAGATTCAATAAAACAATGAGAAGATGGTGTCACTACCAGACATCGTGTATGTGTGTCAGAGTTTTGCTGACCCAGGAAATACTTCCGGCTTCTTTGCAATGTCTCTTGTATGAACACTGCTGAAAACATTGGTTGTGGTGGTGATGATGTGGTGTGTGTGTCTGTGTGTCTCAATAGGACCTATGGCTGTTTTGAGAAGAATCCATTTCCATTCCATCCAGAGCTGCCCAAGCCAGTCTGATTAGTTGGGAGAGTGAAAGAGAAAGAAGCAGACAGAAGAAAGTTTTCTCTTTCCCTTCATCTTTACTCAACTAAACACAGAAGATTTTGGGGTTGAATACCATTTTCTATAATAATAAAAGTGTAATATGCAAACCAACCGACCGAACGAACAACAGAACAACCAACCATCTGGACGACCTTGCAGACGATCACACTATGACACACACTAGTGCCAGGCCAGCCAAGGCGGGTGCAATGCGATTGGTCAGGGGGCCCCGCCAATGCCCCACAATCGCCCCTCAGAGGGAGGCCCAGGCCAGCCAAGCAATCACACTCTACTCCTGTCACCTGCAGAGGGAGGCAACCGGTGGCAGGGGCAGGGACAGGACCAGCTGCCAGCAGCTGGGGGAAGGAAAGCCCTAATAGACCCTGATTGCCCGCAAGGCCTAGGGATCCTACTCAAAGGGTCCTGGATTGCAAGAGGGCGCAG